ATATATATATATATATATATATAGATTAAAAGAAGGTCAAAGTTCATTACCTATTTTCAAAAAAAAAAAGAAGGTCAAAGTTGGGTCCAAATGATGCCTCTCTTTCATTTTCTTTATTATTTTTCTTTCTTTTTTCGTAATTATTTTTTCTTTTTTGGTTAAATACCCATTTGGTCCCTCAACTTTTTTTTTGACCAAATCTATCCTAAAACTTTAAAAGTATCAAAAAGATATGCAAACTTTAATTTTCAATACAAATTTCATTCTTTTATGAACAGATTTGACACCTGGCACATTAATTTCCAAGTAATCAATCTCTTACTTTTCTAATTAATGGAGTGGAAAAGAATACAAGATGTCGAGGGATGAATTTGTATTACCTTAAAGCAATGTTTTTAGGTTGACTCGGCTCGATCAATTGAATTAGTTGAACTAGAGCCGGGCTTGAAAACAAGCTGGATACATCCCTTAGCCTATTTTAACATTTGGCCTACTCTAACCCGTCTAGCCCACTCCACCTACTCCATCTGTTCCACTCGTTGAACCCACTGGGTTGCACCTCATCTCTTCAATTAACCCAATTTTTTTCATTTTCAGGGCAATATACCCATTTTATCCCATCTTTTTAATATTATTACATTAAAACCTCTTAAATGTCAACTAAGATTACAAAAAAAAAAAAAAAACTATACTTGGCAACCCAAAAAACACTACAAAAAATAGAATGAAGAAGAAACAAAACAGATTCTCCTTCCTCCACCAACCTCCTTGCTCTTAACCACCACCATTGCTAGCCCTTTCTAGCCATCCATGGCTCATCTTCATTGCCTTCCTCCACCAAAGAGCAGTAGCTTCTCCTTCATTGAACAGAGCAATAGCTACAACAGCAGAATAGATCTACATCTACTTTCAACCATCACCGTTAGTAGCCTTTTCTAGCCTTTCTCGGCTCATCTTCCTTACCTTCCTCCACCGAATAGCAACAGCTTCTCCTTCACCGAATAGAGTAGCAATAGCACCAAACAAAGCAACATCTATTGCTCAGCTTCCTCTCCTTCCCTATGGGCAAAAACAGCTTCTTCATCCATCGAACAAAGCAATAGCACCTTCCTCCCTCCTTCATCCACCGAACTGAGTAGTAATAGCAGAACATATCTTTTTTTTTTTTTAGTAGCAAAACAGTTCAGCATTTGTTTCCTAGTGGGTAAGAATTTAAGTGTAGCCCATTCACCCAAAAGTAGATTGTGAAGGATTTTTACTTCGCCAACCAGCAAGCAAAGCAAGGCTACAGCACTCACGCCCTCCAAGGTAAAAACCACCAAGGAGAAAGGGACGAGTGATGACAACGATAGTGACAAGAGTTCTTAGGGTCAGTTAAATCTTGAGGTGATTGAGCGAATCAATAAATTGTGACCCGTCTATGGTGGTAAGCGCTTGGGCGAGAAGTATTATGATTCGACCGCTTTCCTCCAAGTATGTATATTGTTGGATTTTTTTCCCTTGTGTTCTTTGATTGTTGTTGACCTCACTAAGAATCCTTTAATATGTGGGTTGGTGTTTGCATGAGTAGTTGGCAGCTTCCAATGAAGGCCTTGGTCCCATTTAAGTTTGAAGAGGCCAAGAAAGTAGAGGCCTTGGCAATGAACATAGAGGAGGTCCTAGCAAGGCCTAAAGTTTGTCAAAAGATTCTGGCCAGCGAAATAGGTGAACCTCCGCTTCCTTACAACATTCTTAGTTTTGTCAACTTTATTGTTGATTAGAATGACCCTACATCTTTCGTAGCTAAGTCAACAAAGCAAAAGACTAAGACCAACAAAGGCCTACCACAGAAATCCACCATGGTAAGTCATGTGTACTTGTCCCAAGCCTTCACAATTGAAGACCCATATCTTGAAAAATATTGAAACATGCTCGTTAAGTTCCTCTTACTTTGCTATAGGCTAAGGGAGGTGTGGGGGTTTCATATGGTACCCCCAGCATAGCAAAGAAACTCGAAGCAACATAGACTTAACCAAAAGCAACAGTGCTAAAGGTATAAGCCCTCCATTTCTGTAAGAGTTAAAAGACACTTTGGTAATTATCAAAACTACACCTCTTACTTGGTTATTTTTGTGTATAGCCATGTCCAATTAGTGATCTACCTCCATTCAAAGCTAGCGATTTCAAGCTAGTCTAAAGGGAGTTTTTGACTAAGAAGAATGCTAACATTGCCACCGTTAAGAAAGGTACCATAAGTAACCAAATGAAGTAACTTATATTTTAGTACCTTGCTTGGTTGAATGGTATAATTCTTTGCTAATCAATCGCTTTTTGCTTGCTTGGCTAGGTGTTGAAAAAGGCAAGGCCAAGGTCTACAGTCACTACTAGTGAAGAAAAGGGAAGAAAGGTTGCCAAAATGGTTAGCTCTAATTCCAATGATAGTAGTAGTGATGAGTCCAATGACAATGAGGCCTCATTTGAGAGCAAGAATGGTTCTGAATGAAGGGGTAAGGATAAAGGCTTCCATGGCAGTATAGACATAAATATGGCTTCACTCAAAGAGTTTGAGTCGAATGTGGGTGATGCTGCAAAGAGGTCCATTTCCAACGAAAGCAAAATGGTTGTTAGTAAGCCAACTATGAGTGCAACAAAGATTGCCAGTTCTAGTGAGGCCGAGTATAGTGGCTACCCATCCTCAATTCCAACCAAGTCAAGTGAGGCTGATGACTTTGCTGCGAAGCTACTCAAGAACTTAAATGAGATGAATGAAGATAGAGATATATCGCTGGCTTGATTTGGCTTGGTGCCTACAATGTTGGAGACGTAGGCATGCCACCAATTGGATATCTTTCCAAATCTGACAACATGTAGCAAAGCCAAGAAAGTGATGATTGAAGATACCTTCTTGAATCTTTGTGTGACCATGCAACATATTGAGGTAACCCCTTTCACCAAAATGAATGAGGACTTCTTTTATTTATGTAGGGATGCCATTGATGATGCTGAGAGAATAAACTTCAAGGTTGGCCCCATTTAAGCACATTTACTAACTCTGACGAAGGCATACCTTGGCAAGTTTAAGTTCAACATGGCTAGAGGTGACACGGTTGAAAACTTGGACAAATGGATTGAAAAGCAAGCAAAGCACATCGAAGAGATGGAGAAGTCCTTGGTTGAGATGAAAAAACTTGCTCTTAAGTTGGAAAAAGGATTGATGTTAGCTAAGGTGTACTTGGAATTGCTCAACCAAGAAAAGGAGCAGTGTGACTAAGTTTTGCCTGACCTGCATCAAGACTGCTAAGGCTTTTAGAGATGAGCATGGTCTTTTCCAGCCATGAGCAGCTATATATCCCAACTTTCTCCCCGCCTTTTATTAT